CCCCGTGTCTCTGCTCAGCCAGCTCTGGACGCGCCACCCCCAGCTGCCTTGGCCTTGGCAGGCAGCCAGGGAGGCCAGCCGAGGAGGCGGGAGGTGCGGCCGGCTGTCCCCCGGGGCTCCGTGTGATGGTAATTGTGTTAATCCCAGCCAGCCGGGCAGACAGGAGGCAGAAGCGGTGGCTCCACCGTGGCTGCTGCTGGGATGGGCTTGGAGTGGGTGAGGCCCTGCCACACGCTCCTCACAGGGGCAGAACCAGGTGCAGCCTCCCAGGGGCTCAGAAGTGCGCAGCCCAGAACAGCTCACCCCACACGGCTTGCTGGGCTCTGGTCTGACGTCCCCAGGGCTCCAGGAAGGAAGGGGTTGGTCACCTGGGGGTGGGCAGGAGGGTGCTGGCCCAGGAGTTCCAGGGTCACCAAGAAGGGGTCAGCTTGGGTACCCAGGCACCCAGAGGAGCAACATGGAAGTGCGGCGAGTGGGGCACGGCCGACTTCAGCTGCAGGGGCCGGGCTGTGAATGGAGCTGGGGGTTCCCCCACCGTCCTGCAGACCCTGGGCAGGGATGTGTCCAGTGGTGGCTGCGGCGGCTGCGGCTGCCGGGAAGGCTGGGTGGGGAGTTCCTGAGCACCCCCGTGGTGCCCGCAGGTGAGCCTGCATCTGGGAAGGCCTTTGTGGGCCCAGGGTGGGGGGCTGTTTCTGGAGCTGCATTGGAGGCGGCTGAGCAGGCGGCTGATAAAATCTAATTGCCCCATCGATCGGGTGGAGCCGAGGGAGCCCCGCAGTGATTGAGACATTCTGGGCAGGCTGCAGGCCCTCCCCGCCGCCTGTGCACGTGAGCCTCCTCAGTACACACATGTGTGTACACATGGGCACACACGCCTGCTCCCCACCTGCCCTGGTGCCCAAACGTGCCATGTCGGGGCATCCCGTGTACACCCACATGTCACCATGGCACGCTCGCCTGTCAGTGCCTCACCTCACTTTACACAGAGCACAGTGTGCCACGGGCACTTCTGGGTCACACGCTCCGCACAGTCATCACCAGTGCGCGCTGTTCCGTGTCAGGGTCTTGCCCCCTCCCTGGGGGCTTCCTCTTGGCCCTTGGGGCATTTACCTGTCCTCCCCTCCTCTTGCCTCCTGTGGTCCCAGGAGCTACATGTCGGTCCTATTCCCAAGGCCCCAGCTCTGTCCCCTCCCCAAACACAGACGCCAGCACTGGGCCCTGGGCGGGAAGGGCCCCAAGGACCGGTGACTGCGTCTGCCTCTGCGGAGGCCACCCAGGCATCTGAGTGTGTGTCTCCTGCCACGGGCTGCCCCGGTGTGTCCGTAGTCACTGTGCTCCCCCTTCCACCCCAGTGTCACCTTCCCTAGGCTGTGACTCGGGCTTTCCAGGAGCAGAGAGGAGCCCCCAACTCCCAACAGAAAGGAGGGGGCAGTTTCCACTGTCGAAAATGAAAATGAAAACACTGCTGGGAAGTGAGGGCCTTGCCGAACCCTGAGGGCCGTGCATGGCTGGGGTGTGCATCAGGGCCAGGACCCCTCCCTGCCTGGCATGGCTGCAGACCCCTTTCCTCTGGGCCCTGACACCCGAGGCTGTGAAGCTGACCTGTCTCCCTTGGGGGCCTCCTGCGGCTCTGCCTGCCCCCAACCCAAGCGCAGCAGGTGCCCTCTACCGTTCTGCTGGGCCCACCACCCCAATCTGTCCTGGAGGTAGGGACCCCTCATCCAGGCAGTGGGGACTCTTTGGGGCAAGGCCTGAGGCTGGGCCTGCCGGGCTGCCCGGGCCAGTGGCAGCAAGGTGGCTGAGATCAATAAGTTATTAGCACCATTCTGTCAGCTGTAATGTGGAGATTGATCGGCGCGCTCGCCGCTGCCGCACTTCCCAGCCTGATAAAAATGACAGATTAAGGGAATAAGAAAACGGAATTAAGCTCTGGAGCTGACTGCAGGGTTTCAGGGGCTGGGGGCAGAAGGGGACGGGCACATGTGTGGGACCCCCACTGCTGAGGAGTCGTGGTGGGCTCGGGTCACACAGAGGGTGGCCCCTCACTCTGCCCACCAGAGGCCAGCACTGTGGCATTCAGCAGAGACCCCGGGCCTCAGAGTCAGGAGGCTCAGGAGAAAGCTGGGCCTCAGGGCGCTGGGACTGGGTCGTGCTGGGCAGACAGATGAGCATGGTTTTGGGTGTGGGGTGTGATCTGTGGGGCCCAAGAGAGAACATCAGGAGAGGGGGTCATCAGGACCAGCCTGGGCCTCCTGCTGCTGCGTCTTGCCTTGTGGCCTGGCAGGCTGGGGCTGTGCGTGGCGGGTGGGTGCCCCCTGGAGCTCAGAGCCTGGCTGGGCAAATGGGCAGGTCTGGGACAGAGAAGAGGGGCTTGGCTTCTGGGGTCAGTGGTAGGTATGACCAGGTGGAGGGCCAAGGAGGGGAGGGACCTTGAGGTGGCCTCGGGGGCCTGTCGCCTGTGAAGTCCCTGAGTGGGAAGAGGTCGAGATGTGAGGGGCCCTTCTCCACTTGCCTGCCCCACACTGGCACGGGACCCTGCACAGCCTGCCAGCGCCGCTGTGCTGCAGGGGAAGGTGGCTTCCGGTCAAATCAAAAGCATCTTACTCCTCTCCAGCAGGATGCTGAGAAGGGATCATTAGTTTGCACAATAGACTAGATTGGCTTGTAGGGTCCCCAGGGTACCTGTGGGGTCGTGAGCACACATGAATCTCCCATCATGTCTACACATCCCGGGGCCTGGGGCAGGGCCTCTGCCCAGCTGGGTTTGCCAGGCAGGGCGAGGCCTTGACCCACCAGGACCAAGGGTGCCCCCGAGTACTGGTGTGGGTATGGTTCGGGCTGAGCTGAGGCAGGGGCAGTGTCCCTCCCTGGCCCCAGGCTTTTCAGCATCCTCCCCTGGACGCCCTGAGATACAGGGTGGGCTCATTCTGTCCTCCTGCAGGTGACCTATTGGGCAAGAGGCTGGGCTGCTCCGCCATCAGCAGTGACTGTTCTTCTGAAAAGAAGACCCGAAGCGAGTCCCCCCAAGGTGGGAGCCTGACCTGGAGATGGGGGAGCAGGTCACTGGGGGAGGGATGGGGATAACTGAGTCCCAGAGGGTCCCTTAGACCTCAGAGTAGGGTTCTAGGAGGGGTGGCCCTGCCTCTCCCCTGGGCAGTCCCTGAAGGAGAAGCCACTCACCATGTGCTCGCCCAACACAGAGACTCTGTTGCTGCCAGAACTGGGGCCCAGCATGGCCCCCGAGGACCACTACCGCCGGCTCGTATCAGTCCTGAGTGAGGCCGGCACCTTTGAAGACCCTCAGCGTCTCTACCACCTGGGCCTCCCCAGCCACGGTATGTGTCCCTTCCCCAGGCATGACACCCCCACTGCAAAACGGGCCCCTCAGTCACCTCTGCCGTGTATGCTGGACTCTCCCTGGCCCTGGCATCCTTCACTCATCTCTAGGACAGGCTCTGGGTGTTTGGCTGCTGCTCAAAGTCTCCCACCCACACACCCTCTGGAGTCATACCCCCCCAGGTGCACACGTGACTCATTTTACACATGAGGAAACTGAGTCTTGGGTGAGCCCAAATGAGAGAGGGCGGTGGGGGTTCAGCAGGCCCACCCACCCCTGTACCCCAGACGTGGGTCCTCACAGCCCCTGAGGTCTATGTGCTGTCCTTGCCCCCACTGTGAAATCAGCACGGGGCGTTAGTGGACGCTGACTTGCCAGTCGCAACGCGATCGTGCCAGGCACCTAGTCCAGGAGGACAGTGGTGGGAGGGGCGCGGGGGGCCACCAGGACCTCACTGGCCGCTCAGGGGAAGCCTCAGCCTGAGGTGCGACCCTGCCCGTGCCCCACTCCTGTCTCTCGGTCCGTCCCACCTCTGGGGACATCGTCCGTGGGCATCCTCGGGATGCAGGAGTTCCCTGCCCAGCTGCAGTCTGGCCTCACAGGTCCCAGCGGCTGCCTAGGGGAGCTGGAGGTGGGTGGGGGGCGCCGGGAAGGAGGGCAGGATTTCCTCTCCTCACACGGGCAGCAGCCCCCAGGGCAGCTCAGGCACCAGGAGCCTGAATAATTCACCAAATGTTAATAATTTAAAAATCTTCCTTTCTAATTGCTTTCCCTGCCCTGCCTGGGGCCGGCCCGGCTGGCCTCGGGGAGCCGGGCTGTCAATCACGGCCGCCGCCGCCCCCGCCGAGGAGCCGCCT